TTTCACCCGATGTAGATGTAGTGTCAAACTAGTGTTGTCATGGTGTCATCACATGACGTATCACAACTTTTTTCCCCTTTGCTAAACTGGATGTGGGCATGGTCAGTACGTGATGCATTCGGCCCACGGACCATGAGTTCAACAGCCCTGATGTAGTTGCATTGTGGGAAGGCAGTTGATCAGCCAACTGTGAATTCATCTGGGTAGTACTGTCTTCTGTCTTAGAACTATTCTAAGAAATAGGTTATGGTCTACTGTGTCAAATGCTTTACTGAGGTCTAAGTATACTATACAGCATTCCCCGATACACTAATTTAGTTACTTTATCAAAGAAGACCAACTTTCTAAGTATGTCTTGCAAACTTAACAAACCTATGCTGGCTTCTGGTAATGGCTTGTTTATTTCTAGATGTTCACAAATCTGCTACTTGATTATCTTTTCCAGGATTTCCCAAGGCATTGATGTCAAGCTCATTGGTCTGTACTTTCCTGGGTCCACTTTCCCCCCACTTTTTATAGATTGGAATCACATCAGCTTTTTTCCAGTTCTCTGGGTAGTTTCCCTGTGCTCCAGGAGCTGTGAAAGATTTTGCTCTGTAGTTCCAAGATTACATCTTCCAGCTCCCTCAGAATCCTGGGATGTAAGCCTTCTAGTCCTTATAAAACTTATAATCCTGTAATTGTCTAGGCGTTTTCTTACAATTTCTTGCATACATTGACCTGCATTCCTGTTCTGTTTCCCACAGTGCTGCTTTTAGTAGGATAAACTATTTTTTTCCTTTGCATGACAGATGCAAAAAAGGAATTCTCCCTGCTTTCACCTTCTTGCCATCTTCTCCCCGTCTCTGGGGCTGCCATTGCATATTGAAAACATGCAGGTTATGGCCATTCAGTTGTCCTGGGAGTTGAATGGTTAACAGTGCATTTGTCAGTATGTTTCTGAGACCAGTTTTGGGTCTGCATATAACCATTAAAGCCTTAAACAAGGCTTGGCCTCAAATTACTTGAAAGCCTGCCTCCATGCATATCAACTCATCACACTCTGAGTACATCTACATAGGGCTGGGCCTTTGAAAGAGTTGGCCTTTCCAATGAGTTTCCATTAGAGAATCCTCAGGCCTTCTAATTTCATATATTCAAGATAGTGCTGAAAATAATTTTATTTTGCTGGCTTTCACTTTTGAGGCCCGCTGATTTAATCTGTAATCAGTGGTATTTGATTATGTTTGTGTAGTAGATGTGTATCTTGTATGCCATCATGGAAGGGCTTTGCCCTATTAAAATAGTGTTAATGTTTTCAAATAGTTCAACAGTAGCTGGCGGACTAAAGTTCTACTGTATGTCTTCTGTTGGGGGTTCCTTTTGCCTGATAAATAACATACGTTTCACAAAACTGGCAACAGTGATGGACTAAATATCTTCCATTCATGATCCATCCATGCAAGTCAGCAGAACTAAGCTACAACCAAAGTATCTTGAATAGGTACAACTAAACATGTTAAAGTATGATCATGAAGGGGTTTATAGGTAGTTGCATTTTGTTAATGCTAGGTGGCTTCCCGTAAAGCACTAAGTAGTAAAGATTAAAAGATTCCGAGTTGTAGCTGCTTTATACTGATTAGAGTGGTGCTGAATGCACACAGAATGCTTTGCATTTATAAATGAGCTTACTAAGGTTGCCCAGGGGCCTTATCCTGGGCAGTACGCAGCAACAAGGTGTACCGGTATTCCTCTCCACCACTTTCAGCCTGAAGATGCAGCTTGAAGGCTGGTGCTAGGGTGAATCAAATATTTGACATATCCCCACCAAGGCTTCATCGTATAAAATTGTGGGTTTGTCACTGTTACACTCTATTTAGCTGTGTGAATTTGTGTGCTTACACATAGTCCTTAACTTATAACCATTCACTTAGCGACTTTCCATGTCACTGAAAAAACCTGACTTACGACCAATCCTTACATGACCATCATAGGGCTCCATGATCATGTCATCAAAATTCTGGTGCTCGGCAACTGGCATTGTACATATTTACATACAGTTGCAGTATCACACGATCGTCATTTGTGACCTTCCCAGCCAGCTTCTGACAAACGTAGTCATTGTGGGAAGGCAGATTCACTTAAATTACTGTGTGATACACTTAATGACCATAGCAAAAAAAAAAAAGAGAACATAAAACCAGGCATAATTCACTTCATGACCATTGCAATTAGCAGTGAAAGTACCGGTCCCAATTATGGTGGTAAGTTGTGGAGACTATCTGTGTTTGCAATCATCAGTTGTGGAAGTGATGAAAGCAACTGTACAATATTATGGAGAAGAAGAAAAAACCATCCTGAGGTGAGACTGAGACTTGAGAAGAATTGAAAACTTCTCCCTAACCCCTGAACGGAAGGGAAGAGGTCATGTTTGCTGTAGCAGGGCAGAACTAAACAAAATATAGAACAGTTTATGGGAAATGCTACGGCAGAATGATGTTACTATAGTGTTCTCTTCTCATATGCACTGATATTTTTAATTTATGCATAATTGCTGCTATCCAGGCCCAACATACAGTATTTAAATTAGTTTGCACAATACTTGTCAGTATTAGATCTGTTTTATGATCACATAGCAACAATATTTGCTGAAAGCCTTAGCTGAAGTTCTGCACTTCCTAATCTTGTGGCTGGTTGGTTATATGTCTCTGTGTTGTGATACCCATTTTCAATGTTTATACACTGGATAATGTACAAAGCATCAGTGTCTTTGTTCTTCAGCCTCCAATTAGCCTGGCTGTTTCTTTTGTATCACAAATCAATAGATAGGATAAAATCTAATGTGATCACCCACTAATTCTATGTCAGCTTAAAGTCCTGGTTCTTGCTCTCTTGAAAGCAGTTTTTGCAGTTCTGAAGCTGGTGAGTGCAAAAGAAATGTACAGATGTGATTATGTGTGCCATTGCTGATTTCTTGCTAAGAAGCTTCTAGTCACTGAAGAGGTCCCTAGAACGTAGTTCATGCCTGCCTTATTTTAGGGACATATTGGCCATAAAACAAATTGACAGTTAGCTTTAGGGCTCTGTGCAGAAATATACTTTATCTTAAAATGTGTGCAAGAAATTTTCAGTGCAGTCCTTTTGTCACAGACTGCTGGACCTATCCAGTTAATTGGCCAGAAAGTGAGATTAGCTAGGCTCCTTAGGGAAATCTGAATGAAGCATGATCTCAGCAACAGATGTCTTGTTATCTACAAACCACTCTCTTGGCATGATATGCTAAGCACCTGCCTCAAAACTTGTAGTATAGAGATCCTCTAATTTTGTCAGATGGTTCCAAGGGAAATGAGGGCATTGCTTTTAAGACAATCAGCATGTATCACATTTTAGCAGTTTATTTTGTTTTCAGGTCTGTTGTCATGACAGCAAAGTAGTTTTGTTTCCTTACGGATGGTCATGTTTGTGTATCTTTTGTGAACTACTCCCACCTCCTGGCTCTGTGTTTATACCACTGATACTGAACCTGTATAGATTTACTTCTTGTTATCCTTCAATTTTGTATTCCTTATCCCGATTCTTGTTCAGAATTAAAGTTTGTTTCTGCATATTTTTAAATCTTGTTTATTGATGTTTTCATTAATGAGTAAGACTTCTCCCCAAATAAAAAGTAGTTTTTGGGTACATTGTTACATCAGACTTCCAGGAATGGCCCATTCAAGGACAATACATATTGCAACCGTCAATTTTACAAGGATTATTTTGTACTGAAAGGCTAACAATATTCCAAGACAGAATTATTTCCAGTAAAGAGCTGGCATATGTCCTATTACTTTTCTAGCATGCTCTAAATGACAATACTTAAGCATGGAGAATTCTCCTGTTTTATATGTATGTTGGGATATGTGCATGTTCAAAAAGGGGCAGCGGTTGCAGCGCATTGCTACTTTTATCATGTTGATGAAAGCCTCCAATCCTGCAGATTTCTCTTATTTGGATCCTTAAGAACACAATCATTTACTCAGAAGTTATCTGGAGTACAATGGGGCTTATTCCCAAGTAGTAAATACAAGGTTGCAGAGTTAAGTCTCTGACTTTAAGTATTAGAACAAAAACATTATCACTACAAAAACGTTTTGCAGAAAAAAGCTACACTTAAGGCTGGAAGCATATGCCACAGAGAGCAGAGGGAATGGAATTAGGATTTTCCATCAAATTTGGCAGGTGGTTAGTTTTATTAAAGTAAGTTTAACCTGATTTTTCCCCTTAAAACTAAGAAAAGTTCCTTCTCTATTTCAATAACCAGAGTTTTGATGCAATCTTGGAATTGCTCATAAGCTATTTGTCTCTGTTCCAACATGAACATTTATATGCTTATATTCCAGTCAGTCAAGAGTTTGTGCAGAACATCAAAACCCCCTAATTATAGCGTGGTGGAAAAACACGGTACCTGAAGGACCTAGTTGTATAACAGGGTTGACCATTACGTCCTGTAGCTTGAGTCGACATGCAAATTGTTACAGATCTCTGGAATTCTAACCTAAACATTTTCAAATCAACCCATAGAAGAGCAGAAAAATCAACAAAAGGCAGCTAAGAATCTTAGTAAGAATTATAATGAACAATACTTTTTCCAACTGAAAAGATAACTCTTTCTCTTCCTTCCTTCCTTCCTTCCTTCCTTCCTTCCTTCCTTCCTTCCTTCCTTCCTTCCTTCCTTCTTTCTTTCTGCTCCTTAAGAGAAAGAATCTGAAATTTAGGCATTATTATATTATGGTAAGCTGCTGAGGGAGGTCCCATGTTATCTTTTCCAGCATCTTTGTCGAGCATCTTTGCACACATTCTAAGTGTAATGTAAGTGTAACATCCACAAGAGGCCGTTACCAAAGCCTCGCACAAAAAGGGCTTCAGTTCACTCTTTTCCCAGATTCAACCGACTGAATTGACAACTTTTTTGAAATTAGAAAAAAGTATTTATTTTTCTTTCAAATTTAAGAAAACATTTAAAATACTGAAAGCTCCCAATGCATTTTTTACAATACAATGTGGTGCACAGCCTGCACATACTGTAATAAAATTTCTATATATTGAGAAAGGGAGTTATTTACAGACCAACCATTACTCTGAATCACATATGCATTTAACGATCTGTCAATATGTGGTGTTTTTTAAAAAAAAACAACGAGCAGTAACTGTCAGGCCCACTTTGAGTTCCCAACAACGTGGCTTCCATTTTTTTTTAAAGCATCTGTCATTTTCTATTAGTTTTGGCAGTCCTTATTTGCAACTCTAGTTGTCACCAGAGACAGCCAAAAGCATCCCAAAGTTGTGAATCGGTGTGTAAAAAGCCTCTTGAAGAACCTGATCATAAAATGCAATGTTCTCAGAACAGAGAATAAATTTTTTAATCTAAAGAGTAGTTTTCAAGAAGCTTTGTTGACGTGCAAACAAATTAAATTGCCAGGAAAATCTTTATGGAAAAGTAACTGTGTTAGTCAGGGGATGCCAGCTGTGAATTAATTCCATTACCAAACAGACAAGAAGGACATGCCAATAAGCATTTACCTGTGCAAACAGGATCATTGGAAGCAATAGCTCATTAGCTTTCAAAAAAATTAAAATCACACTACTGTCACTCTGAGTTGAGTGCAATAGTAAACAGTATAGAGATCTCTTGCTGCCTGCAGCACAAAGCAAGTGTGTGTGTGTGTGTGTATGTGCGTGTGTAGCCCACGTTACATGAAGACTCCGTTCAGATTTTTGTGATCCTCCATGACACGCCCTGCTAACGGATGAGTGAGTGAGCACAGTTTCAAACCAGAGGAAGACCAAACAGACAAGACTGCCAATTGGCAGGATGCCCTTTCAGGTGATACAGGAGCCAGACTAGAGGCAGACATAAAGTGGCAGTGAAGCTCAGACTAGGACTGCAGAATTCTAGAGTAAACCAAATCATTATTTCCTCATGAAAAAAGGGAGAAAAGAACAAGGACATCTCAAAAATAGGGAAGGGGGGAGGGTGGGGAAGATCCTTTTTTTTCTTTTCGCTCGCCGATGCAAACTTCAGTGGCATGATTTTCCCATTCAGGCCAACTCTAAGAGAGTCTTGAAGATCTGGCACATGATTAGAAGTCAGGAATCTCTAGCCCAAAACTGGCCAGCAGACAAAGATGATCAGATGAACAGAAAGGATTTGGCAAGCCATTTGCTGACCAAAGGATGTCCTCAGAGAGGAGGGAGAGGCGGCCAAGCAGCTTTAGGGCTCCATCTTGGTACATCCTGCGATCTAAACACAAAACAGAATGGGAAATATAAACAGGGCCCCACAAAGTAAAGCTGTAATGAAGCAATCAGAAGATAAGCAAAATGCAGGAGGAGATACAAATCAGTCACAGCAATGTAAGAAATACATATTTACTACAATAGATACATTTCAAAGTCCAGGCATTCACCAGGCTTCTTGATATCCTTTTCTACATTTTTTAAAATGTGACATGATCATGTGTCAATGGCAAGTTCTCAAAAGTCCATATAATTCCTTTTCAGCATTCAGAAGAATGTGAGCCGTGAAACAAATTACACAAAAAAGTGTATTTCCAGTCATGCATCTATATATGTGTGTGTGTGTCAATTTCTTGGCTTCCATGCTGCTAAATTTAAACTCTGTTTTCAACTCACTTGTCAAGTTAAACCCCAAATGAATGGAAGAATGAGCAACTCCTTGCTCAGAAATAATCATCGATATTTCTTCCCAAAATAAATTAAGGAAAGGCTGGAATTAGTATTTGACATGGAACAAATATCCATTTCTGCAGGAAGATCAGTTTCTGTTCAGAGAGCTAGACAATTTTCCTTTTCCTCGTGAAGTTCTCTCACTTCATCTCACAGAATTTGCACCAGTAAATTCTTCATGTCTTATGGATTTGGGAAAAGAGAACCCAAGAGAGAAGGAGAAAGCTCCACTGCATAAATAGAGGCTCATATAATTTTGAACAACCCCTCCCCATGCACACGTCTGACAATCATTAAAGAAAAGCCATAAAAGCAAAAAAGATAACACAATCAGAACCATTGTTTTCAAGCTGAAATTACAGAACGTGTGCCTACACGTGAATGCAAACTGACACGTTCAAGGTCCCACTGAATTAACAAAAATGATCAGACAATACATGTGCTTGCTGAAGAAAGAGGCCTACTCACATTCTTCCTGATCATTCTTGATTGGCATTGCTGAGTAGAAGATGTAATCCACAGTGGCTCCCACTCCCATTGGCATGGTTGTAATCTCTTGGCAACCTCTCTCGGGCAGGAAATGGTTGTAAGCTGAGGTCAGGTTAAGATTGTGGTGAATACTACCTGGATACCTGTACCCAGGAAAGAAATTCCACCCCAAAAATAGAAGAGGGAGCAGAGGACATTTAACAACGTAACCGGTAGCAAGAAAAGCAAACTAAGCTAGCATTTTCACTAGTACCATGCTTCAGAAATTTACTCAAATAAAAGTTTTATGCCAAGAACTGAGGATTATCTGGGACACAGCTTATGAAAAAGAGGAGGCCTTTTTTTTCTCTGTCTGCACTCCCAACAAAATCAATTATCTGAAGCTTTGTTGAGAAGAAAATGCCAGTGATATTCATGCAATATCCCCGTTTCCAGTAGCTTTTTTTTAACCGTTGTTGAATGCTCATGTTGTTTTTAGGCTACTTACAGTCTAAGGAATCGTGCAAAGGACAAATATAATATATTGCAGCATTTCCATCCACAAATGCAAGTTGCAGACTGTGCCAGGAGAGCATACTGGGAAAGGGCTGGCATTTTGAACCAAACCAACTCTATGAACTTTGCCCCAGGGTTAGATTGTGATGGAAAATGCTCTAAAGATGAAGGGCACATTTCTTTAGGCTTAGCCATAATGCCAAATATTGCTAACTGTTCAAAAATAACAAATGTCAAAAGGGAATCTGAGAATATTTATAACAATCCTCAAACTAAAAAAATTATCTGGAACCTTATTAATAAGATCACATTCAAAAGGAACATGAAGCAGTACCTTATTCTAGAAAATCTTGTTTACAGGTAGTCCTCAACTTAGAACAGTTCATTTAGTGACCAAAGTTACAGCAGCACTTAAAAAAAGTCTTATGGCCATTTTTCACACTTACGACCTTTGCATCATCCCCATAATCAGGTGATTTACATTTGGTTGCCTGACCACTGACTCACATTTATAACAGTTGCAGCATGCCGGGGCCATATAGTCACCTTTGGTGATCTTCTGAGAAGCAAAGTCAATGGAGAACCAGATTCACCTAATACCTGGGTTACTAGTTTAACAACTGCAGTGATTCATTTAACAAAGAAAGTGGGGAAAATGGGGGAAAACTCACTTAACACATTTCTCACTTAGCAACATAAATTCTGGGCTCAATTGGAGTCGTAAGTCGAGGACTACCTGTAGTTCCAATATTCACTCTGCTCTGAATCACGTGATCAAGAGATTCTTGCTTCACTTTCCTCTAGTTATATAATCACAGACTGTTGACAAAACGTCTGCCTTAACCTCACTCTGACAAGCACTCTTTCACTTCTTTTTTTATTGCAGACTTCCCCAATTTGCTTGCTCCACGTGTGCTGGAGCTCTCCAAATCCCAACCCAGCATACCGATTACCTTGAACAAACCAGTTCTGGATCAGAGTTGTTCTCCACAATGAGGTCTTTAGGCCAATAGGCAGGACGGTCTGCAATGCAGCAAAACAAAAGCAAAACAAAACAAAACACTTGATCAAACACACCAGCCAGTTTCCAATATTTGACTCTGTCAACAGACATAACAAAACCAGCTGTGGCCAACATCCTATAGCAAAATACATCAAGTGCCAAAACTCAAAAGCTTAGTTTCAATATTCTATGCAAACTACCATCTTTTTTTGCACAACAGCCTGGAAAAACTTCCGCAACTTTCTGAATAAATCCAAGCACCAACATGTATCACGTTAAAAATGGGTTTGCCTACTTTGACTCTGCCATGGCTGCATTCTAACAACATTTGTGCAGACATGAAACAGAAGACAAAAATTAAGGCCCAAAAGGGAAATAACACCAGCATTTTTAAAGTACTAGATATGATTCAGAACCGAAAGAAAACACTGGGAGCAAACAGTAATGGCTTCAGGAATTCTTCCCAACCATTAGATATGGCCACAGAAGGTGCCTGCATTTTCTTCTGTGTAGCAAAATAGCATTTTGCATCTGTGAAAGATGCATGTGTGCACACTTACACTTTGCCCCCAAGCATTAATCAAAATCAAGTTGCATGCATACGTGTTGCTTGCATGTATGTGTCTGGGCACTGAGACCCACAGATCAGGCCGCACACTAAGTCAAGAGGTCAAGAATGCTTAGAATGGAAGAGTTGCAGCATTCCAATCCAATACCCAACTCTTTTTCCCATGTGGATGCAATGGGAATTTTTTTTTTCTCCCCATAGTCACTGGCCAGATCTAGCACATTTTTAAACTCTGCCAGTTTCTCCATTCAAATTAAATTTGATCCTGTTGTGTTCAGTTTTCAGAAAGTTATCTCATTGGGGAACAGCATTCTAATTCCTTTATATACAGTAATTTCTTCCCAGGTTCAACTTCATAGGACATAACCACAGATTTAATCATAAAACATGAAGGGTCAATGTATTACTTCAATAAATTATTCCAAAGCTACCCACAGTCTGCAGAACTCATTGATCATCTTCTGATTACTATGAAAATCAAGCAAGACTATGCAGGATGTCTTTCCCTACTGGGGGAAATCCACCATGCAGAGCCAATAATGCCCAGGAATCATGGAGTATAAAGTCCAATACTTCCACCACTACTTTGGGCTAAAGGCTACTTTAACCCCCACTTACAAGCAGTACTTCTGCAGCATCTTGTTAAACGTTAAAAATTTTCCGCCATGAGGTATATTATTGCCGAAAGAGATAAAAGTAGGGAAGAATCTTGGATACCTGGCACAGCATCTGTCACACCTTCCAACAGGATCAAGTCTGCAGGTCGCTCACAGGCAACATCACAGTAACGGAACTGAAGCAGGAAGTCACGACTGTATTTAAGTCTGTCTACAGATGAAAATCAGACCCCGCCCCACCCCAAAAGATTAGAATGGCTACAGTGTGTTCAAACATCATTTGTAATCTAATTTCCGGCTGATAGTTGTTCAAATGAAGCTGCAATGCCCCCATGCATCCATGCAGACACAATTTCAAATAGTAAGAAAGAACTCATAAAACAAACAAAAATGGAACCCTTTCTTCAATCCTGCAAAGTCATTAACTGTTCGTTCCCACATCATCAACAATGATCCTGTTTACTCAGTGAATTTACAACTGTCATTGAATAGTGTGTGTATGTAGGTAAATAATGCTTTAAACAAAATGAGGAACCCCAGAGACTAAAAAGCTGTCATTCTGAGGACTCACACTGAAAAAAAGACATCCCTTTCTGAACATACAATACTGAAAAGCACAAGACCTACACTTTCAATTTTACCATGAGATTCACCTGACTTCTTGCTTTGACAAAGAGTGATATACTGGCAATCATCTGTTATACCCAGGCAGCCAGGCCACAGAGGAAACAGCAATTTCCGCTGGTGTGGGTTCTGACAGAATTCCTCCTGTCCAGACACCTGTGCAGGCCAAAGAAAAAAGAAGAAGAAAAGAACAGAACACAAATACCCACCAAATATTTCGAGGAAAATAATCCAAAGTTCCAAAAATCTAGAACAACCATGTGAAAATCAGAAACCCAGAACCCATAATCTAAAATAGTGTTTGTCAACCATAATTGTTTGGATTTTAACTCCCAGGCTGAGTTAGGAATTCGGGGGGTTGAAATCCACACACCTTAAAATTGCCAAACACCGATCTAGAATATAAATGGAAGAATACTAGGGATGCATTTGCATTAAAAAGCACATTAATAACTACTACAGAGAAAAAACTCCTCACCCTACCCCAAACTTTAGAGTTTTCCTGACTACTAAATAAAGACTTTGGAAATCTAGCTGAGCAAGATGTTCTGAAAGTTCAAATCTTCCTGTTTTCTGCTACTGTAGTAGTGTAGTAGGATGCAAGAAGTGTGTGTGTGTGTGTGTGTGTGTGTGTGTCTTTTACCCTGAAGAGAAGAACTGCACTTCTGCCACACTTCCCAGCTGTAGCTTGGTAGGATAAGAGGACTGAAAAAAGCGGGAGGGAGGCTGCATAGGATTTAAAGTCCATTTCTGCCACAGCAGCATCCCAATATTAATTGAAAATAGCACTTTCTGCCACAACTTGATTACAGACGGCCTCTATCGTAACCAGGTCAGTTTAAATAAATGAACTAAGCCTGAAAAGGTGCTGTGATGCAGAGAAAAGCAAGCAAGATTCTCAGAAGGTGCTGGAAACCATAAAACTATTTAAGAGCTAAACCAAGACTATCTAGTCTCTTTCTTTCGCTTACCTTCCAGGCTGGCATTCCATGATAGTACAACTGGCCATTCCGGATGAACTTATATAGTGGGGAGTCAGGCACAGAGTTCAGGTCCCCACATAAGATGATGGGGCAGTAACTGCCATCAGCCAGTTTTGCGGTCTTGTCAATCTCTGCCAAGAACAGAGCCATCTGTGCCAGTTTGATGTCTCCCCGACGGGGACTGTACAATACATGAGTGTTTGCCACACACAAAGGGCTGATTGCCTTGTCTCCCAGGTTTTCTGTTAATAAGGGTTGTAGTAGTAGCACCAGGCCCACATTGTCCCTGCTGAGGATATCCAAACCGGGCCGGAAGTATTCAACAGGGCTAGCACTGATCAGTTGGAACTTATTCTGCTTGTAACAGATTGCACAACCATCTGTTTTTCTTCCTGTCCGCCGCTTGTAGACACAGGTAAAGCCTAGCCAAATGACAAAAGCTTCTTGTTACACATGCCTCTTAGGTCTAGTTTGATCTTTGAGATGAAAAAGCCACTGCTCATATCTTGGCTCAACTCAATTCAGAAAGCAATGCATGGGAAAGGAGAAGCAAAACCAAAGCTCTGTACACCCTCCCACCCAAAACATTATATGCACTAGAGCTTTAAAGGCATCCATGAAGCTCCAAGCTTTCCCAAACCATGTCTGCTATCGAAGTAAAGCCAATCATCCCAAAACATCAATGGCTATGAAATACTGAGTAAGAGGCATTTTTACTGATCCTGGTTGGAGCATCAAGAAGCATATTTTTGAGCTGAGCTCAATATCAGAAGGAATTTTACCCATCATCATCAGTGTTGGCTCCAACTGCTCCCAATAATGATTCTCTTGAACTTCTTGGAGACAGAGAATCTAGAAGAAAATAACTGTAATAAGTTATGCCATAGCTTTCTAAGGCAGAACAAATTAATTATTTTACACTACATACAGTTCAATTCTCCCAAATTTATTATCCTCACTAATTACATTTGCCATAGAAAGAAAAATATAGACAGACCTTGGTTAACTATGAGAATTAGGACTGGAATTGCTGGAAAGCATTGTGGTTGTAAAGCAAGATGCCACTGGACTGGACCACTTAGTAGCGGAAATCCTTTTGGTTGCTGTTGTTGAGCGAATCCCACACTGACTTTAAGTAAGGACATCATGTGGTCAACATTTGCAACTTACTATTAGCTTCCCCCCACACTCAATTTGTATGTCAGAAGCGAGTAAGGAGGTCACAAATGGCAATCACACAATAGTGGGGATGGCCAGAACTTCAAGGACCAGTCATAAGTACCACTCGTTCAGCACTGTCACAAATTTGAATGGTAACTAAACAAGGGGTTAAGGGAGGACCACCTGCCTAGCAGATTTTGAAATTGTACACAATTGTATATTCAAGTGAAAAACAGAGAGAGAAAGAGAAAAGTGTCAAAGAATCATGAGATTAAACAGATAGGAATATGTAATGGTACGTGGCAAAGGGTGGTATGGTGAAGAGGTGCTGGCTAAGAAACAGTCAGATAAGGCACAGCCCAGTCCAAAGGTGCCCAGTGGATGGAGCAAAAGGGACCCTCCCTAAGATATCAGGCTGTAAAGATGACAGTGGGAGCAATTTACTTTCAGACTTTATGATTCTGTTATTGTAGCTTTACAATATAGTAGAATTAGTTGATCTAGTTGTGCTTTCCATCTACCTGATAAGGCTGACAGAATGGTATTAGTTCAAAGGCTAAGTAGTTCTCTCCCCCTCAAAAAGTGACTCCTAATTATTCAGAAAAGATAGGCATGAAACACAGACTTTGAGTGAGGAGTAATCTGAAGCTTTCTTGTAAGGCAAGGCATAATGGGCCTTGCATTTCCTCTGCTTCCTCTTACTACCAATATAAGTCAATGCAGAGAGTACTCACATGCCGACACTCATTCTCTGACCGTTCAAAGTTGAGGAAGTGCTGAATGGGTGGTCCTCCAAGTTCCAGCCATCATAGTGTCCCCATGGTCACATCATCGCAATTTGGGCATTTGGCAAACAGTTTGCACTTATGACAGTTGCCGTGTCCTGCGATCATGTGATTGCCATTTGTGACCATCTCTGCCAGCTTCCCACAAGTAAAGTCAATGGGGAAGCCTGCAAGGAAGGTTGGAAGTCACTCTGGTAAGTCCTACCAGCATTCCTATGCTTGCGCCCTGCTGCATCCTCCATGCCCTCCATGCCTTCCTCCATCTGTGTCCTGCTATGCCATCCCAGCCTTCCTGCCCTCGTAACTTGTCACACCATCCATCCCCTGGCCATCTTGCCTCACACTTGGCCACACTGTCCATCCCCTCTTCTTGCACTTGTGCACAGCCTGCGCTGTGTGTCCTATGGTCTACGCTGTGGCACCCATGTACTCCTTACCCGGGACTCTTGTGCCTCCTGCTTAATGACCTGTGTGCCTTGGGACTGCAACAGCAACTGGTACTCCTGGGATTGTTATTGCTAAGTAATGCAGTCATGTGACATCATGCTTTATGACCACATCACTTCGTGACAGCAATCCTGATTCCAATTGTTGTTATAACCTGAGAACTGTCTGTATACTCAAATACAGCAAAGCCACCAAGTTATACTCACATCAGGATCCCAGTGTTGGATCTCCTGTAGGAGATTTGCAAGACGATAGCTCCAGTTTAGCGTATCCGGATGGCAATGCATGTAAAGATGTGGGCACTGCTCAATCAGGTCCTGGGCCAGAATGTTGTAAGACATTACTCTGAATTCAAACAGAGACCCACTCTCTGGGTTCAGCTCTGGGTTGCAGGCAGAGAGATCTTCCCAATCTCTCCACAAAATCTCTGTACAAAAGCAAAAAGTGCAAGGCATAGTTTGTATCTATGCTGGAAATGTCAGTTTGTGGTTGAAACCCTGTTGCCCTTGAGAGCAAAAAGCAATTTGAGGGAGGATTAACTTTAACTAGAATCTGAGCTTTTGCTATATAGTAAATTACTAAGTCATAAAGGCTGGCTTAATATAAATGCATCCTTTGACTTTTCATTTTGAGCAACTCATGTGCCTCCGACTTGTTTTGAGTAAGAATATCACCTGAATGCATGAGAAAGACTAACAATTTTGTTAGCCATCCAGAGTTCTTGTCAGACGGGGAAGGGGAATGAAATTGATAAAATACATTCATAAATAAATAAAATTACAGCTAGGATTTTCATTGAATGTATTTATGGTGATATTTTTTGTTTGTTCCAGCCATAAGTAGCTTGCATATTGCATTTGTATGATATATCTGGAAAGCTACACATGATGTCCTAGCTCATGTGTTGTGACCCACCGACAACTAGAGGGGAGAAGTATAAAGTTCCATTTTTCAAAACAACAGTGTCAATCTCTTATCATTATTTCATTTAAAAAGCTTTTTTTAAAAGTTAAATGCCATACAATATTCTGAAGTAACATCACCTAATTTGACCTGCAGAGCAAAACTAAACATAACATTAAGGCTACCTCTTTATTTAACCTAAATAAATTTTTGCTGTACAACTGAGAAATTCTGATTCTTCCAGAGGACAAGAGAATTTCCCTTTACTAACACAACAGCACTCTGCAAATAAATACATTATAATTCACAACCACATTTTTAGCGTGACCGACTACCAGCTTTTATTCCAAAATTAAAACTATTCAGAAGCAAGCATTTGGGCAATATATTCAGAAATACCAAAGTTGCCTTGAAATGGATTCTGGAAATTTACTCTATAAGGGTGACTGTACTCTCCCAAAAATGTTATTTTTGCCATTCCAGTCTGAAGCAGTGGTGGGATTCAATTTTTTTTACTACCGGTTCTGTGGGCATGGCTTGGTGGGTGTGGCAAGGGAAGGATACTGTAAAATCTCCAGTCAGAGGTGGTATTTGCTGGTTCTCCGAACTACTCAACATTTCCACTACTGGTTCTCCAGAACTGGTCAGAACCTGCTGAATACCACCTCTTGTCTGAAGGCAAGTGTTTGAAAAGTGCCTGCCTATACATTATAACGGGTATACTTCTTGAACATAAGTAAAGCAGTAGATTAAATTAGTATGCATTATTCGTATATTTGTACTAGTTATTTTACATATTTTGTCCTCATTACCACTCACTGTGTAATATCTCTAACCATCAAAGGAATTTAGAACATTCAGCAGACACCTTGAAGGATTTCAAAGAAAGGCGAGACTGAGAGGTGTTTCCACAATATTTAACATAACTAATATTCACACATTGTAGAAAGCATCAAGTCACATTTTTCATAGTAACTTGGCTCTTATCCAGTAAGGTCAAAGTCACACAATGAAATACATTGGCACTCACCATGATAAGGTATCTCTAGGGGGAGTGGCTGAAATTGACCTGCATCTGCAAAAGGCCACATTACTGCCTCGGCTGGTATCACATCATTCTCCTGGGCAGGACTCCAGGCTAATACAGCAGGCTCTTCAATCCACACTTCTGTGGACGACACAGAAGCATCCACATCTGGAGGATCACCCTCTGTCCGTACTGCTGCCCATGGAGCATTGACTTCCACATCTTCTTTTTCCTCCGTTGGTGAGCTTGCCAGAGTAGGTTCTACAAATTCCTGTAGCTCAGAAGATCCCTCGACGGGGACCCCTTGCAGCAGCTCCTCCTCCTGCTGCTGTTCCTTTTCCTCCTCTTGGCCATTAGACTGTGGTGAGACAATCAAGTTGCTTAAGCTTGTCATCAGTAGCTTTGGGCCTTCTTGCCACTCCACAGCCGAAATGGCTGATACTTGGTCCAGTTCTGAAGCCCTCTCATTAGTGCAAACCCCACCAGCCCCCTTCTCCAGCCACTGCTGCAGCAGGGCTTGCTTCTCCTCCAAGTCTGGCTTCCCACCGATTGGAGCAGAAAGGCCGTCTATAGATGTGCTCTTTGGCAGAAGCGCGTTCTTTCGACAGGTAAAGAAAGCATCTGTCAAATATATGAACATATGTTCCCTTTAGAAACAACTCGCTTAAGTGTAGTAAAATTAACTGCAATGATGCCTTTAACAATTCACAAACACCAACAAAGGCTGGCACATGGCAAATCACTGTTTTGTAAATCAGGGATTTTCAACTTCTCTGGGACAGTGAGCAAGATTCAAATTTTGAGAGTCCATTGTGGGTACATTCACAAAGTGCTTGACCGGTGGTAAGGGCCAAATACCCATTATGGGAAAGCAAGCAAAGCCCTGGATTGCACTCATCATTTTATTTCATAAAAGATGATGTTTATTACTGTTATTTATTATTTTCCAAAAAAATAATAATCTGGGATCTATATGGAGTTCAGAGGCATTTTAACAAAGACCGGTTATGTTTGAGAGTAGTGTTATCCTTCTCATCTAGAAAGATGAAAAAACAGAATCCACAAAAAATGAAGATTGAGTAGGGCAAGAAGTTTGGAAAGCACAAAGAAATATGTTGGTGAACATGTTGTTTTTGGAATCAAAGTAGGGAGCCAGGATCTATAACAATTTTGCACTACAGTATGTAAGTCTCACATAGGACTTTGAATATTTGGGCTTGGCAACATTAACATTTTATCATTTAGCTGAATTTGAAATCAGCCATCAAACAAGAAGCGCTTATTAAAAAACCTAACTTTTCCATTCTTGATTCAAATAAAAGCAAATTAACTGACATTAATTTAAAAAATTAGTTGACAGGATCAGTAACAAAGACCCAAATTACAATGTAATTAAGATTTTACTTTGTAAGCATATTAAAGAGAGACAGAATAAAGATATACACAGAAAGTTTTAAGCCCTGCTATCTAGGATTGAAGATTTTATCATTTAGCTGAATTACTTTGTAAACATATTAAAAAGAGAGACAGAATAAAGTTATACACAGAAAGTTTTAAGCCCTGCTATCTAGGATTGAAGGTCTGAAATACGATATAGCGCAGTCTCAAACCATCCCGATTCTTAGAAAGTAAGTTATTTTAAAACCAGTGGGCCCTTTCTACACCTCACAACACGGCAATGAGGCCACCTAAAAAGAAACCGTTTTAATTTAGGCCATCCAGAAAATTGAAATGCGACACATGCAATTCAAGGCATTCTTGATAATCAAAATCACAGATTTTGGTAGGGAAAAAAATACCTCACTGAATGAATACTTGTTTAAATATTTTATTTAAACGTTTAAAATATTTATTTAAATATTGGAAGGGAGAGAATAGTTTATATTCTCTCCCTTCTAATTGC